GACAAGATCATGTTTCAGGGCATCTCCCTGTGGTAGAAAGAACATGACCCTATGTTCTTTCCATGCCTGTTGGAACAAGAAAGTACATTTTCCTGCCACCCAAGCTCTGGTTGTGCTTGTGGTCTTGCTAGCTAAGAACTATGCTTGAGGCAGGAGATAAAGCACTGCAGGGGAAGTATTGTGTCTTCTGGGATCCTGGAGCAGATTCCAGGGAAAAGATCATGAAGCCCTGTGTTACAGAGTCTCCCATTTCACTTCAAAGAACCTCCTCCAAACCTGCTGTTAAAAGCATCACTGGTCTGAAGACCCAAATGGAGAAGAGACTTGGGACCTCAGGAGCTTCAATACCCCATGTGGTTCAGCCAGTTTCTCTAATGCTATTGAGCAAGCCTGCAGCAGGCAGCATCCTGGCCACCAAGTTGCCAGAAACAAGTGAGAAGAATCTGAAAATAGCCTCTTCCTCAACCTCTGTAGAAACATCAGTCTTTGACACAAGGTGGACAGAAAACCCAGAAAAAAAATACTTTTGCCTGGGCCTCAGGCAGCAGAGAGGTCCCTTCCAGCATTGCAAGTTCTGTAACAAGCTCCATGGTGACCACCAACCTGGAAGCTTGGTCGTCACTTTAGAATGGGGAAGACTGGAGAACACTTCAGAAGATGGGCCAGCCTTTGTGGACTCACCAGGATCAACTAAACACTCAGATTTGGGCCTATGAGAAAGAATGACATCTTGGGAAGGGGAGCTGCTTTCTCTCAGCCCTTCTCAGGGAGCGGAAAGCTTCCTGGAGGGTACAAGCTGTTGCCTGTACCGACGAGCTTCTTGCCTGGTGACATGCCGTGCTTCCCATGGGGAGAGCCTGGGCAGGCTTGGCCGCTGAGGCTCGATTGTCCCTAGAAGGCAAGCCAGATCCTATTTCTGTTACCACACAGCTTTCTCCTGTCTCCAGTTCTGCTCTTCCTGTGTCACAAGCTGAATGCTCTCTGACTGACTTGCTTTGGGGAATTCCTACAGACATCCCAAATTCTGCCATCAAGGAGCTTGCTTGCTTAAGAGCCAAGCTCATCTCCAGTGAGTCAAGAGTCACCGTGGTAGATGCATCTCTGGGTGGCAAAGCATTACTACCTCCTGCTCTCTCCCATGGCCTTCCAGTAGCTACCTCTGAGGTAGTCATATGTTCTCCCTGGGATGGCCTTATCAGCCTTCCCTGAGCCAGGACAGACAGCTAGCCTGCCCCATGGTGTGATCTCAGAGGGCATCTTTGCAAAGCACCATGGCGATTTTACAGGAGGAGACTCAACACATACTTCTTGGAGTCCGAAAGATCCGGCCGCAGAACCGCTGGAGAATCTGGCCAGAGTGATGCTGACAATGGCCCCTCACCAAGCTCCTGTAGTCACAACTGCCCCCTAATATGTTCCCCAACCTACACTGGTGTTCCCACTGTCTGCCTACCAAAGAGAACCTGGAGCCCTAGAGGGGACCATGGGAATGTCTACACTAGCTTCATGGTGGCTGTCAGGTTCAGAGTTGCCTCCAGATGTCGTATCTGAGACTAGAGGGGAAGTAGATACCCCCCTCAGTTCTTTAAGTCCAGCCATGCCCCAGGGCTTGTTCAGGCAAGGAGAGAGAGTGGCTGCTGGCACCTTCTCTGTTGAAGTCCCTGGGAGCTGTGATTCAAGCCTTCTGCAGACTGATGTGGAGTGCCTTCTGCAGAGCTCAGTGGCTTTTCTGTTCCCCTCCCCAAGCCACAGTGAAACAGAGCAGACATCTAGAGGTCTAGTGAGTACTTCCTGGACTGGGCCCAAGGAAGCTGTTCGTAATGGGGCAGAACTTGTCCTTACTACTTGAGGCCCACTGGGAAACTGTTCCCGGCTGCTTCATAGAGCAGAGGTAGCACAGAAGGAGCAGCCTCCTTGGCAGAGGAAGATTGGGTGATGTGCTGCATCCTTTTTGTTCTGGGCTAGTTCCTGGGTTCTGGCTTTCTCACACTCTGGGATCCTCCCCTGGGTGTGAAGCTCCTTCAGTGTCAAAGACATGTGCTATTGCATATGGCTGCTACATTGGTCTTGGAGCTGTAAACTGGCTGGGCAGTGACCTCCTCTGGGGAGTCCCTTGAAGAGCATACCGACATGGCCACTCACCCTCAAAGGGGTTGCTTTAAAGGAAGCTAAGCTCTGAAAATCTACCCATTCCCTGGTACAGGAGTGGAAAGACTTCACCTGGATCTGCCAGGTTCCCTTCCTAGCTTTCCAGAGAATGCCCTGGGAAAAGGATCCAGGCTATGGGCTCCTGCTGTTCCATCCGTCTGTCCCCCTGAGAAGAGGGTGAATCCTCTCTGGTGGGTGCTGCTTTTTTCGTATCTATGAAAAAGCTTTAGTGTTTTATTTGTTCACCTCTTTCTCTGTATTTCAAACCATCTTTCTCTAAATGAACTTTAGAAGTTTCATTAGAGTTTCTTGAAGGTTGACTCTGATTTTATTTATCCAGTGTCTTTCACCCTCTTTCATTATAGTTTTTTTTTTTTTTTTTTTTTTTTTTTGTATTTTTAGTAGAGACGAGGTTTCACCATGTTGGCCAGGCTGGTCTTGAATTCCTGACCTCAGGTGATCCACCTGCCTCAGCCTCCCAAACTGCTGGGATTACAGGCGTGAGCCACTACACCCAGTCTCATTATAGTTGTATTGGGTACATGATTCTAAGTTGAAAACTTTTTTTCTCAACATCTTCCAGAAATTATTCCACTGTCTCTTGTTTCCATTGTGGCTATGGAATCTAAGTGACATTTCTTCACAGTGATCAATCCTGTCTCTCTGATTTTAAGATCTTTTTGTCTTTAAAGTTTTGCAATGTCCTTATGTCTGTGTCAATTCCTTTTTTATTTTAAATTTTGCTTGAGCATAGTAAATTCTGGATATTTATTGTTGGATAGCAAACTGCTCCAAAACTTAGTGGCTTAAAGAAACTTATCACCTCTTAGTGGCTCAGAAATTTAATCAAGTATCAGCTGGGCAATTCTTCCACCCCACATGAGATTGGCTGCAGTATCTTGGTGGCGTTTACCTAAAATCTGGGCTGGTCTGGAGGGTCCAAGATAGCTTTACTCACGTGTGTTTACAACATGAACATCAGTGGGGACAGCTGGGAGGCTGGGTGCAGATATGTCCCTCTTCCTTTTACACAGTCTTGAGATTTATCTAGTAAGACTTCTTACAAGGCTTTTGGCTTTCTCCAGAACAAGAGACAAAGATGGAAATGAAATGTTAGATTTCAGAATCCTGTGAGGATTAAGTTAGACTTTCCCCCCAGTACTCATGTTCTGAAGTTGGTAGTTTAAGAGGGATAGTGGAGCCCATAAAGCTGATTTTGATCTGGATAAGTAAATGCGTATCCTGGGCCCCCCTTGAGTTTAGGGGACAGGTGGGAGTTCCTGCACCAAAGTGACCATTGAAGAGAAATGAAAAGAAGCCTGGCAAGCCCGGCCACTGTGACCTGGGCGCTCTGTATCTGCTGGGCGCTCTGTAGGGAGTCACATTCTCATGCTGTGCAGAGCAAAAAACATAATGGTAGCAACTTAGTAACTTTCTAAATAAGTCACCACTATTTGTTTCTGGCCATGCCTTGTGTGGGAGCCGTGACTGCACTTCCGCGCTTCTGCTTCTGCCGGGAGTTGCTCACTCCCAGGCCGCAGGCTGGAATGAACCAGTCTCTCAGCGGAAAACTGTTCCCAAGGAAAACGTGAATTTGATGGCAGCACTGCTCAAAAGCTTAGTTTATCTGGAGTGTATCTTTCTCCCTCCCTTCTTCAATCACCCTTCTTAGCTCTGAGTTCCCAAACTCATATCTTAGGCGGCAGTGGCTCATGAAGATGAGAATAGCCCCTGCTCTTACTATAGCTTCTAGAAACATAGTTGTCTAAGAGCTTATGAGTGGGATGAGGTCATCTTGCTGGTTCATCAGATAATGGTTGAGCTTCTGTAACCCTAACTATTTTCATTTCAAATAAAGTTGTTAAGCCCAATCAGAAAAAAGAGGGAAGAAAAAGTGTTGGGTAAGTGTAAGCTCTTAAGAGATACTAGGAGCTGTGGAAGGATCCAGGAGACACTCCCATTTCTTTCTGGAGTTCATATATTTATTTATTTTAGAGACAGGGTCTCATTCTATCACTCAGGCTGGATTGCAGTGGTGTAATTATGGCTCGCTTCAGTCTCAAACTCCTGGACTCAAGTGATCCTCCCACCTCAGCTTTCCAAGTAGCTGGGACTACAGACCCACACCACCAATTAATTTAAAAGAAAACATTGCAGAGATGAGGTCTCCCTATGTTGCAGGTGGTCTCGAACTCCTGGCCTCAAATGATCCTCCAATTTCAGCCTTCTAAAGTGCTGGGATTATAGGCATGAGCCACTGTGCCTGCCACCTTTCTGGAGTTTAATAATGGAGTTGTGTCAGAATATGTGAACTTATGATGTGGTTTCAAGAGCAACCCGATCTCTCACTCAGGCCGCAGTCCATGCATGCAGCAGGCGGGCTGTGCTCACTGCAGTCCCCTGACCAGCCTGACAGTTATTGGTTACCTGGCCTGAGGGGAAGCACCGTGGAGGGTCTTCGCACTGGCAGGTAAGTACTCTGGACAGAAATGACAGTCACTGGCTGGAAGTGATCTTACAACCACGCCCAACACAAGAGTTGTAAAATACAATTTTCTTATGTCTATAGGGGAAAGAGCTGGAAGTATTTGAACAGTTTTAGAGTTAGCAACAGGAGCTGACTGTGTTGGCTATTAGGGCTTTGGTTCAAACTGTAGCTCCGACTTTTAATCATTTAGTGGGCTTGAAGGCCACAAAAGCAGGGTTTCATAGCCTTGCTCTCCTGTTCCAGCCAAGAGAAATTGTCTGTGTTTATTTTGTAAAAAGACTTTTTTAGCCACTGTAATGTCAAGAGGCAGCTTTCGAGGATGGATAATAATTGGGATTAGGAACTGGGATCTGTATCAGAGGCATGGCTGTTTCAGAATTACTTAGAGAATACAACCTAGGGTTGCAAAGTAGAAGTAGCAGATCAAGGGAGGGGTAAGAACCCCTTTATTTTGGCATAGGCATATCCTACCTGATACAAGTCTGTTGCAAGTACCATACTTTGAAGGCAGCTTTGTCTAGCTGAAACCCAAGGACGGTTACCAGGGGAGGTGGGAGTCTTGGGAATCGGAAGGGATTACTTGGTAGCTGCTCTAAGTATTTGAAGAGCTGTCAGAATTTTTTTCCTTACTGGTGAGGAACTTACCTCTTTGTAGTGAGATGAATTGGACTGCATTGTAGGTGGTGTGCTCACTACTCTAAGTGACCACAGAAGCTGGAGAAAGGATTTGACCCTTCCAAGTGTAGAGAGGAAGAATGGTTGCCACAGTGACTCCTTAGGTCCCTCCCACCTCTGTCATGATTTTTCTGTATTTTTTTTCTCAGAAATAAACCTTTCCTCATAGGGGAAAGAGTGAATGCCAGTTGAGCCCTCACTATAAAAGACATGGCTGCTCACAAATGCTCCACTGCGAATTCCTCAGGAATCTTGAAATTGGTGGTGGAATCTCCATTTTACAGGTGAGGTGACTGAGGCTGAGAATGAAGGAAGCCAGCTTTCTAGCTATGTGACCTTGGGCAACCTCTCTGTTTAGTCTCTGCAAAATACAAAAAATTAGCCAGGCGTGGTGGCAGGTGCCTGTAATCCCAGGTACTGGGGAGTCTGAGGCAGGAGAATTGCTTGAATCTGGGAGGTGGAGGTTGCAGTGAGCTGAGATCACACCATTGTACTCCAGCCTGGGCAACAAGACCAAAACTCAGTCTCAAAAAAAAAAAATTTAAAATTTAGTGAGCATGGTTGTGCACACCTGTAGCAGTGCCTTTAGCATGACTTGATAGCATCTCATAGGGTTGTGAGGATTAACCAGTTTATAGGCAGCATTTTGAACATCAGTAGCTTGGCACAGAATGTGAGCTAAATATGCTTCATGTTTTTACTGCTACAGTCATGATCAATATCTGACTAACTTTGAGACACTATAGGAAGCAAAACTAACTTCTCTTTCCCTTTCTTCTGTCTTCCAATATAGATGCAACAACATTTTCCTCACTTCCTGGAAATGGCTCTGTTCTAGCCTTTCAACATTATCCAGGAGGTAAGATCTCTTAATTGGAGAATACTAAATCTATTCCCAATCTATTGATCATGTTTAGAGACCTGAATCCCCATAAACCCATCTTTTAAACTAATGGCAGAAAACAGGTGTGTACTCAGGATGCAAAGCATGATCTTTGACTAGTCATGTCAGGAAATGGACAAAATCAATCTTTCTGATCCAGATTTCAAGCTGTATACTGTCCCAACTTTACAAATGTACCAATTCAACATATTTTTTGTTGTTTGTAGTGTATTATGTCTAAGGTTTTGTATTTCTCAAGCTTAATCTGAACAACAGTATTACCCAGGGGCCATTGTCTCCAAATCCATTCGCAAGTCTAGTATAAACTTAAACATAAAGCATGTTCTTATCTTGCATCTAGGTCAGTTTGAGGGTAAAAATCCCAACCAAGCATGTGATACTGAAGCACTATTGGGATGCTTTGTTGATGGGGCTTTTTATTCCTCCCTGTCTTCTGCAGATGTCTTAGTGACAGTGATGTTTAAGTTAGAGCACCTCCGGCCGGGCGCGGTGGCTCAAGCCTGTAATCCCAGCACTTTGGGAGGCCGAGGTGGGCGGATCACAAGGTCAAGAGATTGAGACCATCCTGGTCAACATGGTGAAACCCCGTCTCTACTAAAAATAAAAAAAAAAAAATTAGCTGGGTGTGGTGGCATGTGCCTGTAGTCCCAGCTACTCGGGAGGCTGAGGCAGGAGAATTGCTTGAACACAGGAGGCGGAGGTTGCAGTGAGCTGAGATTGTGCCATTGCACTCCAGCCTGGGCAACAAGAGTGAAACTCCGTCTGAAAAAAAAAGAGCACCTCCAAGAATCTTAGTGTTGAATCTTCCAAAGTGTTCAAATATGTGGTAAGATAAATTAAGCAGAAGCTAAGTTGAGGGTTGGACTGTGTGCTGTTGGCCTCTTGTTCTAGTGACAAGGTCAGCAGTCCCTGTGGGCATCTCAGTTCCAGCCCCTGCACAGGCATGTGTTCACACACTCACATGCACACAGATGCTCCTGGCTTTTGGTTCTTTCCCAGGTAGGAATCTGTTCTTTACACCCTGACTTGCTGATCTGTCTTCTAGCAGGGATCCAAGAACATTACTGAGGGGCAACAGGACTTTGGGTGGGGGTAACAGACTGGGATTGAGGTGATCAGATTCTAGTCTCAGATGAGTCCCTAATAGGGTTTTGGACAAAATCTCCATTCTGAATTTGTTTTCTTAGCTCTATAAAGTCTACACGTAAGTTTAACGAGGTTTTAGTTCTAGTTTCTAACTGAGACCTACTTGATGAGGAACACTATTACGACCATTACCACCAGCAACAGCATCGTTATTCTTTCTCTGAACTGGTGGTTGACCTGTTTTGGAGAAGTGATTGTGAAGATTAAATGAGTTAATATGACAAGTTTCAAACAGTGCGTTGGCATGGCATATAATACAATCTGTAAAGTATTAGTAGTGATGAGAGGACATTGCTTACAGGGTTGTGAATTGTGATATGCCTCTTGGAAAACAGGGCAACAGACATATCAAGAGCCAAAACAAATGGCTGTCAAACCAGAGATCCCACTTCCAGAAATCCCAAAATATATAACGTTGGAAAACTCATACCAAACATATTCATCACAGGATTATTACATACATTTTCAAAAGAGTGGCTAAGAAGATCAAATAAATTAGGAGACCATCTACTTGACTCACTCCTTTGTAGCCACTAAAAGACTAATAGCAATGCAAAAAAACAAAAAGAGATACAAACCTGCACGCCTTTGACATAACTACAATTACATAGTTATATAGTAATATACAATTATGAACATTGTAAAACTGACATATATCCTGGAGTACATGGCCTTTGGTGTTATGAGTCTTCCTTTCTCCTTCATAGCTAACAAGGAGGTCTGCAACATACGCTATAGGTAGTCAAATGCAACCAGAAGTGGGAAGAGAAGACGCAAAGGCTCTTTACTTTTTGTCAAGACCCGACTTGACTTTAATGATCAATAAGTGTCCACTCAGCAGTTATTTCCTGGAATTAGTTGCCTTTAACTTTTGTTCTTAAAGTCTGTTCAGAAGAATACACTCCTAAGCAACCTGTCTACATGATGCCAGGGTTCATTGGGTCTTTTTTTGGCAACACTCCAAAGTATTCTCAATCCGAAGGCAGCCTCCACAATCTGTTGGTAGGAACGTGTTGACTGTTGACTAGTACTAATAACAAACAAAGACAGTCTTATGCCTTCATAATCTCTAATCTTGCTTGCAGATCTTTGGGGAAAAAAACTATTCACTCCAGAATGATGAAGGCAAGCTAGCTAGAATGGAAAAGAAAGTGTTCTTGAGGTTTAGTGGTTTTATTCAAGATGTGCTGGGCCAGGTGTGGTGACTCACACCTGTAATCCCAGCACTCTGGGAGGCCGAGGTGAGAGCCCAGGAGTTTGAGACCAGCCTAGGCAATATGAAGAAATCCCGTATCTACTAAAAATACACATATGCAAACATTAGCTGGGCATGGTGGCATGTGCCTGTAGTCCCAGGTCCTGGGAGGCTAAGGTGGGAGAATTGCTTGAACCGGGGAAGCAGAGGCTACAGTGAGCTGAGATCATTCCACTGCACTCCAGCACAGGTGATGGGAGTGAGACCCTGTCTCAAAAGTGTTAATGTGGTTATTACATTTTGGGGGAGCTTCTACTATAGCTCAAGTATCTGAAATAAAAGGTAAAAAAACCCATGAAGTGTTAAAACTAGAGTGTCAAACAAGCTCTTGATCAGTTTTCCTTTCCTTCCTTGTAGTACCTGGGAGAAGAGCCTGGTAAAACACAATGAACTGCGGCCAGGGTCACTACTGTTTTGAAGAATATGATCAGAAATCTTCTCCCTGGCTGGGCACAATGGCTCACTCCTATAATCCCAGTACTTCGGGAGGCTGAGACAGGAGGATGCCTGAGAATAGGAGTTCAAGACCAGCCTGGGCAACATAGCAAGACTGTATCTACAAAAAAATGCAAAAAAGTTAGCCACACATGGTGGCACATACCTGTAGTCTCAGCTACTCGGGAGGAGAGGATCACTTGAGCCTAGGAGTTCAAGGCTGCAGTGAGCTATGATTGCGCCACCACACTCTAGCCTGGATGACAGAGAGAGACCCTGTCTCTTAAAAAACAAACAAACAAACAAACAAAAACACTCCCTGTGTTAAACCTGCATGTGAAAAATCAGCTTTTTTCTATAGAAGTGAACTAAGAAATTACTTAATGGAAAAGAATCTTGAATTTAAACAACCTAAATTAATGAATGCAATAGTCTGTGATATAGTTTCATAACTTTACTGTCTACTCTTAGAGTCTTTAAAACAATGTAACCTTTCTCTACCAAGTGGTGTTTAGATTGTTTTCTTCTCCCTTCCAAAACATTTCTAGAAAAGATGCTGTGAATGTCACATATGCTTCCTGGCTACACTTGAGGTCTCAAGGAATGGATGTGCCTGATTCTGTGTCTTACCAGATAAAGACACTCATTGAGGATGCTCTAGGAACCCACAAGGTGGAGAAGAGGTGCCCCTTCCTTGAAGGTATGGATAGGTCTCTTGGCTGCCGTGGCCGATGGCATGTGCCACACTTGGATTAGGCGTGATTCAGCCAGGATCAAATTGAACTAGGCAAAGTCCCCCAGTAGAAGGCCATGTCATTTCCCATGGAGAACAGACCCTTTCTCAGTCTTCATCGTGGGAACGTTATGCTTCTCTCCCAACCTGAGGAAGAATTGGCTATTAATTCATCTATGCATGTAATATATTGTATTGCATTTTACTATGGGTGAGGTGTGTTTTGGAACACTGGGGAGTCAATAGCAGACCTAAAAGGGAAATCCCTTCTCTCATGTGCTTCATAGTCTAATCAGGAGATAGACCAGATAAACTAGAGTATCTGAGTTGATATGCTTTATGAAGAACAATCAAATAAAGGGGATAAATTGGGTTTTGTGTATGTGCATGTATGTGATAATAGTCTTTAAAATATGGTAAGGGGAGGCCTCCTTGAGAAGATGATGAGGGAGAGCCATGTAGCCCTTGGGGGAAGAGGCTTTGGCTAGTGCTGAGGCTCTGCAACAGGGTTGTTCGTGGTGTGTTCAAGGAACAGGTGGAGGCCAGGAAGAGAGGGAAAGGGCAGCAGAGGAGCCTTAGGACACCCTGAAAGATAGTGTGATAGAAGGGACTGGACAGTAAGACTGGCCAGAACACCCTATTTCCTCTGTCTTTAGATATGAACAAGTCTGAGACTGGCCTAGAGCTCTTTGGCGATCCTTGCTGCCAAGAGGACTGTGAAGTCCACGCCCCCGTGCAGCCTGGCATGCTGTATGTGCATGCTCCCTGCCCGGGTATTGGTTGCTTAGGCACTCTGCCACTGGCTGTGTTTACCAACTGCTGGGATCTCCTGGAAGACCTGTACCCTGAGCAAGTCAGGGTGGAGCTCTTATTCTGATGCCTTTGGCCACAAATACCAAATAAAACATTTTATGAAGGATACGGGCAAGGTCCAGGAACTGTTCTAGAACTTGGAACATGTTGTAAGGTCATTTATTATGAGAATGTTCATTGTACTGACTTTTCTTTTGCAACTGTACCTTTGTAATACTTCCATAGGATGCTATTCCTGACTCTGATAAAGGTAGACGTGAGTAGGAATTAACTTGAGCATCCAGTTGTTTCCCCAAGGCTCGTTTGTGACCCTTGCTTTTGTCCTGCTTTTTTTCTTATCAAAGATTACATTGGGCAGAGACTTGCACTGGAAAATCGATGTGAGCTCCTTGTGAGTGGGTCCAGCATAGAGCAGTTGGTAATGAATTAACGGATGCCCTTAGCCTTTTTAAGGACTTACTGCTGGTGATGGTAATTCATTTGGTACAGTTACCTCTGAAATAATGTAACCTGCCTGTGCTGCCACAGACAGATCAATAGACATGATTTTTATTTCCCATCTTGCTAACTTGCTGTGTGACCTTGGTGCTCAGGTCTTGCATATCCCTGTGAAACAAAGGATTAGATTAGATGTTGAAGGCTTTGTGTAGATCTTTGAATGTTAGATGCTGAAATCCCAGCAAAGATGCCATTTAGCACAATCTTTTTCCACTGGACTCTAAGGGCGGGTGGGTAATCTTGGAATGCTATTTGCAAGTTTTTTTTTTTTCTTGAGGGGGGAGTTTCTTAGTTTTTATATGTCAAGAGAAGATTGAGTTTGGCGTAAAATAGAAGCTCAGTATATAGTAATTGAATTTCTCATGGTTAGAAATCTACTTGTAACTGACTACTTACAATACTTTCATGTTTTTTTCTTCTTCCTTTACCCTCTTAAGTATCCAGATAAGTCAGTGACAAGACTTAAGTTGGACCAGGGTCTGTGAGGCAGTCATCTGGAGGTTGCAGTCATCCAGCTTCTGTGGATTTTGCTCTAAAGATAGTTTCTAGTTCTTTGTGTCTATATAAACTATCTGATGGTAGAATACATTCTGAAATTCAACTGGTCTTTGTGCTTCTCTGGGTACATCATCTCAAATGTAACAGATTCTTTTTGAAAATAAACAATTTTTAATATGCATAAAATGAAAAATATTTAATCGTCAGTTCTCAGGCAATTTATATTTGGCATCACAAAGGGATGTTAGGTGTTTTCCAAAGTTAGCTCTGTGTGCATGCATGGGGTTCAAGGAGCTATATAGCAAAAATAGGTGGCAAGCCCTTCTATTACCAGGTTCATTTGTTCCAAGTCTGGCTTTGGCTTTTAATCAAATGTTAGCATTTGTTTATTTTCTCAAGAAATACTTACCTATGATGTGTTTGACAACATGCTAGGAATGGGTTTGAGAGTGTAAATTTCTGAAGGTGCTTTTGAGAGCCCATTAGGAAAGGGGATATAAGCCTGTCACTTAGTTCCCCTAATAAAAAATTCCTTTGTGTTTCAGGATTTGAATTATCCTTTAACTACCTGGGCCTGCTGGTTAAAGTTGTTGTGCTTACTGCCATCTTGCATGTTATTGGTCTTGTGTGACTCGTGACTAGAACATACATGAAGAAGGCAGATTCTCTGGGTCAGAACACGACATCACAGGAATGCCCACCTACAGCACCTACTTTTGATCTGAGGATTTTTTTTTTTTTTTTTTTTGAGACACAGTCTCACTCTGTTGCCCAGGCTGGAGTGCAATGACACAATCTTAGCCCACTGCAACCTCTGCCCCCTGGGTTCAAGTTATTCTCCTGCCTCAGCCTCCTGAGTAGCTGGGACTACAGGTGTGTGCCACCACACCTGGCTAATTTTTTGTATTTTTAGTAGAGATGGGGTTTCAGCGTGTTGGCCTGGCTGGTCTCGAACTCCTAGCATCAGGTGATCCGCCTGCCTGGGCCTCCCAAAGTTCTGGGATTACAGGCATTAGCAAGCACACATGGCCAATCTGAGGAGCTTCTATAAGCTCCCTCCCTTCACCCTCTGCCAACCTAAGCTGCATTCCAGATGGTCCTCAGGGCAAGAAGGTTCATCAGAGATGGGAACCACAGGTGTGAAGGGAACAATCAGAGAGGGTCTGAGGGATACTGCCTCCCTGATGCCTGCCTATAAAGCAGGGTGGGAGAGAGGACCACCTGTTGGAGGTGAGACACCCACCATGCCATCAAGTCACACAGATGCTCCGCAAACTTGGAAGGAAGCAGCTTGAGTCCCATCCTGTGCATCATCCTTGTTCTCCGTGATGTAAATTGTGCTGTGCTCCTGACTCTCTCCCTGGGAGAAGGCCTCTATGCTGTATGTTCTGCATCAAGACCCAGCCTGTAGTCCCAACAATGGGCTGAGGTAGACCTCTGGTGACTCAGATACTCTAGTGATGAGTGTGGTCCGCAGAAGATTCCCAGGGAGCAGGAAGCACACAGCACCAACTTGTAAAGTTATTGAATGAGTTTAGTGATGGACAGACACGGAACTGTTAACATGCTTTAGAAAACTTACTTGACCTCAGCACTTTTCTCTCCTTTTAGGCTGAGTGTGGGGTGAGACATTCTTCTTCTTTTTCCTTCACCCTCACTTTTATTTTATTGGATTATAAGATTCTGTCTTCTGTTCTCGTTTTGGCCACTGTCTATGCCAGGCGATTAGAGCCTGACAGCTTGACCCTAAATAAAAGAAACGCTTTTATGTGTATTTAAAAACAAACAAAAACCTCTGTAGATCTTATTAAAATCTACCAGCAATGTTTGACTCCTTCACTTTTAAAAGTGGGGCTATTCCCATTCCTCTGTTTTTTGCCTACACTTGGCACTTTGTAAGGGAGACCATTGGAAGAGAAGATGCTAGAGGTCTTAAATATGGTTCTCACCCATGGTTTGCTTGCTTTTATTAGACCGAGCTAAAGGGTGGGGGAATTGACAAGCCATGAGAGAACAGATACTTGCATGTGCTTGTGTCTCATGGAGGTGATAGTGGGAGAGATTGGTAAAGTAGATCAAGAAGAAAAACTTTGAGTTAGGCAGGGCCGATCCTGAGTTTCTGGAAGCAGGGCCACACTCTCTGCAGTGCCAGGCATGGGCCTGTTGTGCAGAAGGAACTCTTTTACTTGAAGGAAAGCTTCAGGATGAGGGGTGTCTCCAAGCTGGCTTTAGGGTCTGGAAAGATGCAGGGCTAATGGGATTGGCAGCTTTGACCTTGCTGTGGCAGCCTCCTGGCCCAGCTCCCACATCTTAACCTCCCTGGAGAGCAGCCTAGTTGGCAGCACGGAGCTAAGGAGAGCCGGGTGGGATGAAGTGCAGGGCCCTACTGAGAGGAGGAGGGGAATGTAGTGTCTCCACAAACCCAGCTCTGGGGGTGGAGTGGAGCAGATTCCATGCCTGCCTCGTGGAAAGCATTGGGCACAGGGTACTGTTGTGTGAATCGTGGCTGCATGAAGCATATACTGGCTTCCACCTTGGGCCCTGGCAAAGGTATGAGGTGAGCAGTGTGCGGCCCTGTTCCCACTGCTCCTTAGAATGTAAAAGGTGGCACAACCATAGCTGGGGAACTGGGTGGTAGAACTGCCCACTGGGATGTTCCAGAGATGTGCTGGGCCACAGTCCCCAGGTGTGGGCTGTCACCAGGACTTCCATCATACTGTAGGTCTTTTTTTTTTTTTTAAGTGGACTCAGAGATGTTGTATTCATCAATAACTCTTGAATCTGCCATCTGAAGTCAGTGTTTTTTAGATCTGCTTGATTGTAAGAATTTTCTGGGACACTTAATAAAAATACACATTCTGGGCAGGGGCAGTGGCTCATGCTTGTAATCCCAGCAATTTGGGAGGCCAAGGCTGGAGGACTGCTTGAACCAAGGAGTTTGAGACCAGCCTGGGCAACATAGTGAGACCTCATCTTTTTTTTTGGGAGGGGGGGGGAATTATCACACAGTCTTTTTTTTTTTTTTGAAAGAAAGAAAGAAAAAACGGAGTGAAGGAGAGGAAGAAAGAGGAAGAAAAAGAGGGAGAGAGAATGGGAATATTGCTTTATTCTAAAAATGGGTATTAATAATGGCCAATAAATATTTTGTGTATTTAAGG